TCAAAAAAAAAAAAAAAAAAAAAAAAAAAAAAAAAAAAAAAAAAAAAAAAAAAAAAAAAAAAAAAAAAAGAAGCCCTAAACATCCAAGGAGAATTAAACAAAACCATAAGCATCGCACGCCATCCTGAATACCAAACAGGACCATTAACTCCTTTGCGCATATAAGCATCACAACCCAGATCATTCATCATTTATACCAGCCAGATACGAATATAGACATTGCCCTATACGCAGGTACATCTACATAGCTCCCTCTTCAATGACAGCATTCGGATCTTTGGCAACAAAGATCTCTTCTAAGGCCCCTGATGGATCATTGTTATTCAAGACAAGACCTTGTTCGTTGGCCAAGTGAAGCAAACAGATGAAGCCATACGACGTGCTAATGTCACGCAACGTCTCCGGTGCATAAGACGATTTCAGCGAGTTCATAATCTGCGTGAAACGTAACCCGCCCTCTTGGCTGTCGGTACCAGACGTAGGCTGCGGGTTCTCTTGCGTCGGTGTCGGTGGTCCTTCTGGTTCATTCTCGCTAGACTCGGCAGGAGTCGGCTGAGGTGGCGAGCTGAAGTGTGTTGATTCGATCAACTTTTCACCCATGCCCCTCCACATCTCCGATTTGAGTCGTCTTACGTCGACCTTCTTGGCGACTCGTGCATAAGCAACATAGTCGGGCCGTGCTCGTCGGCCACCTTGAGTCACGAGCTGTGACCCGAATCCACCACCGCCATTAAGAAGTGCGGCAAGTCCGGACTGACCACCAGTCGCGTCGGGAGCTGGCGAAAGCATTTCCCTAGCATCCGCAAAAGGCAAGTTGTCGTCGTCGTCATCTGGTAGTCCAAGCCCGTTGGAGAACGCAAGACCATCATCGTCTGCGAAAAAGTCTGCATCATAGGCGCCACGAGCTCCGTCCTCATCGGCCGGATCCTCTTCTTCGGTCTTGTGGTTGGCCCAGAATGCTTCATCCATTTCACCGTTAGCAGCTGTTTGGTCCTGTCGTCTGTTGTTGAAGTTCCGAGGGCCTGTCAACCGCTTCGAGCCCATCCGCGCCTTGGGTTTGAGGAAAAGACGAAGAAGCTGCCGGGAGTTAAAGTGCTTATCATCGGGCAGTAGGTTGCGACCTTTGGTCTTCCATTGAGTCTTGGGTACGGAAATGGTGGAACTGGAACTCGCCGGCGTGTATATCGTTTCAGCAACGGCTTGATCCAAAGGCGCCGCAAAATCAATCTCGAAAGGCTCCTTTTCTTTCCGTTGTTTGGGTGCAGCATTTGTGGTGCTTGCGGCTGCATTATCTTTGATGCGTCGAATCTTCCAGTGCTCCGGACCCGCCCAGTTCTTCTGCAGCGCATTATCGAAATAGCTAAGGATGTTGTCATGGTCCCGGCTGTCCGGCTGATGGGCGAGAGAAATAGTATACGCATCTTGGTCTGCCTCTTCACCATCATTGTTTCCATCGCCTTCTTGGTCTATACGGTGAACCTTGAGCATTGGATCCAATGCGGCCTCACGGGCCCAAACTTCACCGCCATCACCAAAGCCAGCATCGTCACTAAGATCAAAACCAGCAAGTGTGCCATCGTCGTCATCGAATCCGACAGCATTGTCGTCGTCAAGCATGATCCCCGACGGATCATTTGCGTGTCGCCCTTCCTCATGAAAAGATTTCTCGTTTCGCCAGTCCTCAGAAGCCTTCAACAAGGGGATATCCAATGATCCGCTTGGATCACCGAGATCGAAGTTCTTGAGGGAGGGGCAAATGTCTTGTTCGTCGAGATGATCCAGGTTGGGGAAAAACCGACTCGCTAATGGAGCAACATCGATTTCCATGTTATCAAACGCATCATCTTGGGATTGCTTGGACGATGGGAAGCCAGGCTGTTCAGGCTCGGCGGATTCTTCATCTTTGACACCGTCTTGTTCCTCTGCGCCTTTGCCGCTTTCTTCATCGGCATCATCGCTGCTATCAAATACAATGCGTCCCTGACCGTCGATAGCTAAATGATTCAGGAGTAGACCCTTAGCACCACCTTCATCAAAATCTGCCGATGCCTTCTTAAATAATGGGTCCACGGAGAATTCGAGTTCGAACTTTTTCAGCTGTAGAGATGCGAATGACGGCGCCAGTGTAGCTTCATGTGTCCGTTGAGCCTAATAGTCAGAGCGTTAGCTGCCATTTTGACGCCATTGCACAGGAAGACTCGTAGTACCTTCTTTCTCGATTTTCTAGTCGTCCCGTCCTCTCCCTCTTCCTCTTCTTCATCGCCATCTGCATCGGCCTCGCGGCCTCTCTTATCGCGGCCGTCGGCCAAGCCACTGAGAAGCTTGCCTGTCTCTGTCGCAACACTGTCGACTCTGCTTGTATAGATCTTAACGCAGCCATCCAATGTACAACTGGCCTTCTGGAAATTGACACCGTCTCCTTCTTTCAGCAACGACATATCGTGGAAATAGTCGATCAGGGCAAAGTTCCAAGAGTTATTGGCGTTGATTTTATTGTCTGTCGCCATTTTCATCCATTCTTCGAAGTTGGCGAGAATCGGCACTCTTTTCATTGGGGTCACGGCTCTTTGTCCATAGACATCGCTCTCCCGGCCACGGCCTGTATGGCGCGGGGTAGTCGGACTTGTACTTCCTGGTTCATAGCTCTGACGTCTCCGGGGCGGCATGGGCGTCTTGACGGCGGCTTTGATCTGGTTCATTTGGCGGTCGTGGAGGGCTTGCCGGGCCTCCATACGGGCCGCCTTCTCTCCCATATCATCATTCAATGGGATTCTGATCCTGTCAGTACCATTCTTGGCGAGGGAGATTCGCATATTGACTGGAACTCGGACGGGAGACATTACTTGACGGGCGTATTCTTATGAGGGGTGGAAGCGCCGCCATGGCTGCGGCGCACCTTGGGGTTTGATACGCGGGGCATCGTGACTCCCTTAAACAGTAAGGGACGCACCCAAAACAATGATCGAAGGAAAGAGCACGACAGAGATTAAAATCAGCAAGCGCAGGGGCCGAGTTTCATCGCCTGCGCAGTCGCGAGTCTTGATGCGGAAAGATGTCAGCGCTTGAACGGTTCTGCGGTGCCTTCCACAAAACCGTTTCGGGGGAACAACAAAACATACGGCTGAGGAGAAAGACCACTTGTGTACACGCTAGCCTTGTTGGGAAGTCAGATGACTTGCAGGCGGTCAGTATTTGCTTCGACTGGTACCGTACGGTAACTGACAAGTACGGTATGGTAACCGGGATACGGCAGCATACACATTAATGTGTGACATCGTGCCAGCAGATCATTCGAGTCACACTACGGAAAATAAAAAACAGCTACAGAGTAAATAGAATCTTTTCTTTTTCATATACTTCTCAATCAAGGTCTATTTAAAGACCCCTTGTATGCTGTGTGCTTATTTATATCTTCTATGCTATCTTCCGCCGCGGCCTGACATCACCGTATCTCTGCGCAACCTCACCGCACTCGTGCTTCATCCTTGCGGCAAATTTCTGCTCATTAATTCTTCAGCCTGGAGATTGAATATCCCTATAACTATTCTTGAATTTATATTCCAGCGTTGGGAGTGTTGATTGCACTCTCTGCCCAGGATGCAGCATCCGTCATCATGTTCCCTCGTTATTCTCCGTCCGTGAACTGGCCCTCGGTCCGCCCGAAAAGGCGCCGATTCTCAGTCAATCCTTCGTTATACTGGATGTTTCTCGCGTTTACCATCTTTGCGACAGTGAGCTGGGCTCATGTGGCGTGGAGGGGAGATGAATTTCTTGCGCAGGATGCGACTAATGCTCTCAGGCGGGACACGGAACCGGAGGTATTCCACCCATCTTGGATTCAAGCAATGGAGGCTAATTGTGAGTGCTTTGGCGCAATAGTGTCGGCTGGTCCGTAACGTCAAGGACAAATGCGCCTTTGTCCGTACCAACTGCCCGGACCACGAGGATGGTCTGTTCTCCTACCTCCAATTCTATTATTGCTCTCTCGCGGATGTCAAACCGCTAGCATTCATTCTCCTCATTCTGTGGATGTGCTTGATATTCAATACTATCGGGATAGCTGCCAGCGACTTTCTATGTATCAACTTGAGCACTTTGGCCAGTATCCTGGGGTTGAGTGAGAGTTTGACGGGTGTCACATTCCTTGCCTTCGGAAATGGAAGCCCCGACGTGTTCTCCACATTTGCTGCGATGAAGTCCAATAGTGGAAGCCTTGCTGTTGGTGAACTAATCGGAGCTGCGACCTTCATTACATCAGTGGTGGCTGGCTCAATGGCATTAGTCCGGCCGTTCAAAGTTGCCCGGAGGAGCTTCGTTCGCGATGTT